ACAAATATCAGGATGGCTGAAGTCCCCCAAGAGAATCATTGCTGGAGATCACACGGCTACTTCCAGCTGTCTGTAAAAGACCTCATCCACTTCTTCCCTCTGATCAAGTGGACTGCAGTATACACCCACAACACAGTCACCCATGGTAGTCTGCTCCTTAATTCTTACCCACATCCACTGTTTGCTCTCCATAAACGTTCAGGCAGCACCGATGAATGTCAGTGGATGCCATTTTTTCTGCACAGACGAATTAAGTGAAATATCTTTGCTTCATCTGCACTTTCATGTCAGATGCCATTTGTCAGACTGCCCCTCAGCTGCTATCTGTCACACGGTAAATGGAACGTAACAGAATTCCAGTGGGAAGGTTCAACCTCTACTGTCATACCACCAATATCCACCTCTGATCTCATAGGCCAATATAAGGAAATAGGAGGCATTACTTTTCAAAGCAGCCCGTGTTCATACAAATGCCATTCCAAATGTTGGAGGAGAGAACCTATGGATGTTTATACTTTCAAAACAATCTCAACAGTGCATGTTTAAATTGCCTCTGTGGGAGAATAAGTAGAAACTCCAAAACACTCCAAAGGACTTGCATGCACAATTGCTGCTAATAACCACTTGCATGCAACAGAAGACTGCCCCAACATGCTTTTCTTCCAGGCCAGTTTTCCCATCTGATTTAGAAAACAGAAGCCATAAAGAGCACTACCAGCTCATTCTGGGTTTTCTTTTCCCACAAGCAGTTATTTTGTTCACAGCAAGGTACAGTTTTGGAGGTAGCTTTCACTTCCATCAAGCTTCAAACCTGTTATCAAAATGCACAGTATTCACCAGTCATGGTGAGGCTTCAACTCTCTGGTCACAAGGAAAAAAGGGGCCACTAGACAAAAGTTTATACAAAGACAAGTGTTCCGTTTCCCTTCACTCTTTGGCCACAATCTGTTGCTGTCATTTGGCTGCAAAGCTGGGACTAAAACACCTGACACCCTCTTCAGTGGGTAGATCTCAGACTTCACTGCAACACGAAAGACAGATGCTTCCTACTCTTAACTAAGTACAGCCAGGAGGCTTTGATCAGCAGTGGTATTGCATAGTGGAAACTGTTCCTGCTCTTGAGATCTGCATTAAAAGCAGTTGTAAAAAGTCTCTTTAAAAATACCAGCATGAGTTCTCACATCCCTGGAGTGCTCTCTTGCAATTCACCTACAAAGCAAACAACTGCCTCTGGCCAACAATCATGTTTGTTTCTAAAGGGCAGCTAAGCTCATGGAAGACAATACAACACATATTTTCCCATGTTCCTCCAGGACTGTCCTGGTTGCTCAACCAGCTGCTGCACTTTGCAGGCAGCTGGACTCTCTTAAATTTTAGTTTTAATGGTGAAACTAACTTTTCAGCCATGAACCAGATTCCAGTTCAGCTTTCTGCATCTCTAGCAGCTGTTTCCGGAAGGCTGCTCAAGTACTGCAGCTCAGTGGCGGCCTCTTTAGAAGTCTCTCCCCTGGAGGATAACCTCAGAAACCATCTTGGCTAGTCTCAACTTCTGCTTTAGAAGCTGCTCTGGAAGGCACTCCATGGTTTTTAAGTAAAGGCAAGACTTTAAAAGGATTGCAGCAGCTGGACTTTAGACACGAGATGCTGTCTGCCTTTATCCACAGTTCAAAACACAGCCCACAGCCAGGAGGGAATGGTCACATTCCAGCAAAATGGTGTAAATCATGAATAATTCCACTGAAGTCCAGCTGGAGAGTGCAGCCTAAAGAGAGGTTTCCCTTTGAAGCCCTACAACTCCTGAGCTCCATTGGAAGACCCCAGTGATACCTGTGGCAGCCAGAAGACACTGCCGTATGGACACACGTACACTTCCCTGTAACACGTGAACACTGGGGTCTTAGCCCACACTGTAGTTTCTTTACCACTCCTTAAACTCCTGCAAAACACAAGTTAGGTCTTCACTACGTCTCTGCATTTGACAGAAGAGGAGCTTCCCACCTCCAGCCCACATTGAGGACACCAGCTACAGCCAAAGCTACCAGCAGAGATTGTGCAGAGCTGAGAGCTTCCTTGCGTGGACCAGACATCCAGTTCTTCCCCTGAGGATCTGGCTTTGATTCAATTCAGCACCTGCTATTCCTCCCTTCAGCAACTCAGCCAGCCAGCAAGACCAGAAAGCTTTCATTACGTCAGAGGTGTCACTTAAGCAGGAACAGAGCGTTAACACAATTGCATTGAGAGAACAAACTCAATCTCCCTATCTCGGCTCATTTCCCCTTCCAGCAGGCACTTCACAGAGATTTTCTTTCTCTGACACTTGCAGAAGCATCCCTTCCCTAGAGAAGCATTTCTCTATCCCATCCACAAGTACTTTCTCACTCTTATCGTCCTAAGTCTGCTCTTCAAATGCCAGCATGGGTAATTCACCGGGGCAGATCATTAAGTCTTCAAAAAACTCCTGCGTCACTGCTGGGTCTTACTAAGCAGGTGGTGCCTGGTGGCTCTTACCACTACCACTTTACTTTTTTGTCCATTATTTCATGGACAATGTGAAAAAACTGAGGTGACTCTACACACAATGCATTTCTATACCCTTCACAGCTTTATTTCCTTGAGATATAACCTCTCTTTACCAAGGAAAGCAACTTTCCCCGATTTCTTATCAGTTGGCTTATTACCCCCCAAGCAACAGAAGCAGTTTACACTGTAAATGCCACTTCACAAACAGCAGTCAACAAACAAATTCCTTCTGTATCCAAACTGAAAAGGCATGAGTATGAACTCAGCAATCACACTTATCTCCAGGTCATGGGTCAAGACTGATGGACTCAAGAAGCCACTTTAATTAAATATTTTCACATTTAAGAATCTGGGAAAGAGCCATAAACTCGAGCCAGTCAGAAAACTATACAGCACAAGCCAAGCAGTCAGCAATGGTCATTCTGTGTCTGGAAGATTACCTCTCAGCAAATTATTTACATGTTGTGGTCATTCTTATTTTAAACATTTCTTTTAAAAGTTGTTTTCTACAAGCCTGTGTTTAAGGATCTCTGTAATTTCTTGTTCTATCTGCCTCATCCCCTCTCCCTTCTGCTCTTTCAGCTTTGACCTAGAAGAGCACAAGAGTTGTGACTAGATCAATCCATCTCGCAAAACATCCTGTCCCTAAAAGAGGAAGGTCAGTGTTCAAAGACATAGGACAAAATCCTTTCCTGTATAGTGCTCTCGACAAACTGCAAGATTATCTGGCAACAACCAGTCTGGCTCCACTAATGCACTCCTAAACTGTTCTGGATTGTGGACAAGAACTTGAAAATGTATTTCCTTCCTGCCCAGTAGGGTGAGATTGTTTCTACCCATAACTCCTGTGTCAGCAACATCAGTGCTGCCCTGCTCCTTTCCCTGCTCACCAGCAGCTGCAGGGATTTACAGATACATTCCCCGTGTATTTTGTACATACTCACAGTAGTACTTGGAAGCCACACAGTGGTTTGCTGAGACAAAAGGTCAAATTCTGCAAGTTACTGCAAATCTTCAGCACCAGCAGAGTTCATCCAGAGTCAAGAACTTCTCCAGAATATAGGAAACACTTAGGATGCCATGGGACAAATCAAGTGAATCATGCCGATGTGAACCACAGCCCCAAGAAAGCAATGCTAGTAGCTATGCAAACAGCCGTACCTTTGCAGCGGCCTTGAACTTCTCTCTCAAAGCACTGGAATAAGTCTTAGTCCCTCTTCTGTTGTTAGGAGCACAAAAATCTCTGAAGCATGCAATGGATGTAACCTGCTCCAGAGCCAGTGCACCTGGCCATCCCATTCCAGTGGAGGGCTCAGAAAATACAGCCATTCTGCCTGTGAGGGCCTAGGAGCAACAAGGCACTTCTATAGGGGTCTAGGAGCAACAAGGCCACTTCTGATGTTCTGTGTGTGTTACATGGATCTACACTGCTCCAGTTAGCCTGGTTCCAATACAATCCATGGTGCAGCAGCCACTTTTCCAGAACCAGAAATGCCGGAGATACGCCTCTGGGACACAAAATGGAGCAAATGTGGGTCATTAAGAAGTGTTTCCATGAATCCCAGTTCCCTGTGCCTCCAAAACAGGATCCTGACCTGGATTAGCTTTTGGCTGAAATGACAGGTGATGCCAGTCAGTGATCACTCAGTATTTATGAAGCATGCTGCACAAATGGTTAACACTTCCCCTGAATCCGGGGTTAAGCTCTCACTCATTCTGGCCTACAATGGAATTCCACGGGGTATTTTAACCAAAGGCATAATGCCTCATTAGCAGTCCCAAGCTGCTACAGGTCCTTAGACCAGCAAAACACTCAGTGCATTCACTCTAGAACTGACAGCACTCCTACGACAAGCAAAATAATGATCTTTATGGTTGCTTCCAACCCAAGCCATACTACAATTCCATGACCAGGCAAAGCAGAGGTACCACATCCTGCCTCCAGGCTGAGCACCACACTAACGGTAACCTGGGCTTTGTGGCAAGTCTCCATCAGAGCCTCAGCTATCATGAGACAAGGTCTGCAGTGTGAAGGAAGGACTGGGAAAAGGGACAGGACTATCAGCCTACGAGAGTATGCCTACATGCGCATTTCTATGAATGCACAGCATTTTCAGATGACACAAGCTTCCCCAAAGCCCTTACTACCAGTATCTTCATGAGGCTAGCTGCAAGCAGCTCCCAAGATAAATCCTATGAAACATTCTCCAAGGGCTGCTGCCTTCCTGCTGTTCTCGAGAACATGCAGTACCCACTGAAGCATCCATTTCTACCCACACGTGTAAATGGGCTACCACTTCAAGTTCTCTGTGATCACACTCTTCCAGGACTGTGGACTGTGCCTTAAATTAACTCACAAAACAAGCCAGAAAGAAAGAACACAATTTGACAGTTTTATCCCAAGGCTAAAAGGAAGAGAATTGAAAAAAAAGGAGAGGAAAAAAATAAGAAAAAAAAAAGCCCAAACCAGCCAACAACTCTTTACACCAAATGAGCAATTTTATTAAGGAAATAATATCTGAACGAGACACGCGGCACACACAAGTTCTGCAGCTGTAACCTCTCGTAGTTGATGTTTCTCTTGGTGGTACATAAGGCAGAAAATAATTCAGCTCAGCCCCGGAGGGCTTGTGGTGGCTCTGCGGTCATAGCAGGCACAAAGCATGGTAAGACACTAAAAGCAGACCTTGTAAGATGTATCATCTGCTCAGAAGCTTCTTTTTTTCTCCTTCTGCAGTGAACTACAGACCAGATAGGCTTTCAGAGACATGCCAGAGTTCAGCCTCAAGGGAAAGGCTCCAGATGACCAGAGAGCAGCCCTGGGCCACCACAGCCCTCCAGAGGCTGTCCTCTTCCCAGGGACAGTCCCAGGGCAAACTGCATGCAAGGAGGAAATTCTCTGCATGTACACAGGGGACACTGTCCCATGGCAGACAATTCAAATGTCCATAGTTAGAGCTACAGCCACTATAACAGCTCCACACCCATCACTTGGAGGAAAATTCCATGATGTTTCCATTCCTTTGGATTCAAAGAAGAGCACTGCGCCATACAAACAAAACACAATAGGGACCAGCTGCACCACACCATGCTTCTCCATCAGTTTTTACCCTAAGCCCACGTGGTTTATAAAACAATAATGAAGTACTAAATAGCAGTGAGATACACCAGGCTACCTAGTGTTTGCTGAAATACACATGACATTTATATAGAAACAAAAGGCATCTGTGGCATTTTACATACCTGAAAGCTTCAGAAAGTTAGACCTTGTGCTCCGCTCCCCACAGTCACAGCTCAAGGACTGCTGATCAGATTCAGACCGAAGTCTGCCACATTCTCCTCCCCTCTGGGGACTGATGGGCAGATACAGAAGTCAGAGGGAAGTCAGGTACCAGAATCAGGGTTAATGCTCTTTACTTCATGCCTTTTGCATGTGAAGAAAATGATTTTCCACTAAAGACTGGGGATGAGATCCTCCTCAAAGGAATAATTCCCTCTGCTCAAGCTTAAATCCATACACAGTCATACATCTGCTAAATCACAGTAAGATCCTTCTGTACTGACACAGGTTTTCTATTTCAAGAGGATTAATAATGTGCAGGCAACATACTTTCCTGACTATGCAGAAAAATTAGGATACGTAGCATATATCTTTAACACATTTCCACCTAATCGCATGCACAGAGATACATCATGCTAGATGACTAACCCTTCCGGCACAGCCGTGTGAGGAACGCAGTACTAAACTGATTTTCTAAATACCATGACAATATTTAGTCACTATGTCAAAAATCATTTCAAGATTTCAGAAAAGGTAACACAAGAGACACAAGCTCTCTCCTCACGAAAAAGCTGGAGGCACATTGCTGCAATAGATACACAGGTCAGTGACGTGAGGAAATGCATTCGCTACTTTTCTTACCCAAGTTTTACCAAAACCAGCTGGAGGTTTCCCGTCCCTCTACACCCCTCCATGAGGAGGCATCTCCTTTTTGAGCCAGGAGATGGTGCCACAGAAACGCTCCCTAAAGAAAGGCTGAGATGAGGAGATAAGGGCGAGGTAGAGAGCCCCAATTTCTGCTGTTGAAGGTGCAACTAGCAGTCTGTTACTATCAGTCCATATGAAATGGAAATTGACAATAATGCTTTTGGATGCAAGAAGCAGCTGCATATCTAATGAAGCACCTCTAAGAAAAGTTCAGATAACACCCACCTGAGCCAGAAAACACCAGCTTATCATCTTATTCAACAACCGACAATATTTTGGAATTAAAAATGTAGGATACATACACATTTCTAACAAATGTGCTGCCCAGAGGTGTCAGAAATGTTGTCAGGACAGAGAGGAATCAGCCCTTCTCACCAGAGCTGCTGCTGGTCGAGGTACTACCACATGCTATTTCTGAGCAGCACGGGGTTCAGATCGCGGACACATAAAACCAAGAGTTGTGTGAGCAGCGCAGCACACACAGGCAGAGCAGGCTGTTGTGCAACACAACACTTCGACACTTCCCATCTGCACTCCATTTCAAAGCATATTTTACTTGTTAGCTTCATTTTGAAGGTCCCCCCGCAGTTGAGCTGCAAGAGAGGACTCTGTCAAAATGCAGAGCTGAGCAGAAGCATTGAGCCTGCATCTCCATAAAGTAAATGTGAAGTAGGAACTAAGTATGCCTATGCCGTACATGCACAGAACCCACTGAACACCAACAGACGTTTCTTTGCTAGAGGATCAGGAGATATTTAGAGTGCAGGATGTCTGTGGCACACGAACGCCACCAAAAGCTCTCCTAAACGAAAGCAAGAATCACGCTGGATTTAGGAAACGATCATTCAGCTCTATTTTCTGCATCCAATTGAAAGACAATATATTTCCCTTACGAAAAGCCTCCAGTACGAAAGCTTGCCAAAGGAAGCTCCTCTGCAAGGCTTTCAGCAGCGCTTTCATTTTAAAAATCCAGTCCTCACACGTCCCACGGGAAAGCGTTCCGTGCCTTGAGTTGCGGAGGTTATCCTCAATGGCACTGCCCGGCGCGCTGGGACACAGCCCTGTCCCCTCGGCAACGCGAGCCCCGAACGAAAGTTTCTGGCCAGCGCCGAGCCCGAAGCCCCGACTGCCGACCCCCCCCAGCCCCCCCCCGCCGGCCCCGCATCCCCGGAGCCTCCCCAGAGCTCCGGCCGCCGGGCTCCGCACACCTCTCCGCGCCTCCGCCGGGCTCCGCGTGTTGGCAGCGGCCGTCCCCCGCCGCCCGCGGCTCCGCTTCATCACCTGCCGCCGAGCCGCCGCGCTGCTACCGCCACGGAGCCGCCGCCGCCGCCTCCCTCCTCCCGGGCGCGGCTGCAGGGCCCCGCTCCGCGCCCCGCCCCGCGGCTCCGAGCTCCGCGCTCCCGCAGCCCCGAGCTCCCGCCGCCGGGAGTGCGCAGCGCCGGAGCTCCGACCCCCGCCCCGCAACCTCGGCTCTGCCCGCCCAGCTCCGAGCGCGAGGCTTCTCCTACGGGAGTGGGTACGGCCGGAGCGGTTCTCGCTGCTACACACTCGCTCCGACCACACCGCGCTCTCGTGCACTTTCTCCCTTTGGGAGATGTTTCCACTCGGGGCATCCAAATTAAAATTCCCCATGCAGCTCACAGGGTTTGTTTTCTTCCCTGTAGTGCAGCTTGATGTGCCAAAGCCAAGCACCTTCATTGTGGGCTGCGGTTTAACATCACGGGGACATTTTTCAGGTGCGTGGCTGTCCCAAAAGCAGTCATCTGGTACTCAGTACTGTGTCTTTTCACTCATAAAGGCTAAACTACACAATTACCTATGCAGTGAGCAGTCTGTAATCAAGACAAGGATGAAACTCTTCCACTGAGTCCCACGCTGTGTTCTAGCAGCCCTCTAACTGCTCCACTTTGTTCAGAGGAGCCCTGTCTCTGCCATAGAATACTACCCTATGCAGAAATCACCATCCCTCGTTTTTCAGGATTTTCAGCATGATTCTCAGCCTTCCAGGTGTTGAGAGGGAGGCAGAAGAGATTCTCGGCTTTGTTCCTTGGAGCGAAAGACAGGATGGTGTCAGTCGGTGCCCCTGCTCGCGGAGAGCACAGGTCGTTAATTAGGAGTCAAAGAGGAATGCGCCAATAGTTAACATACATAGAGCCAACCTCAGGGAAAGCTTTCCATCTTCACGATTTGCCTCTTTCTGGGGCTCAACACTGCGAACCCAGAAATGCCTCTCTTCCAGCCATGATTCATGGCCTGACATCCCCTGAGAAAAAACCTCACCATCCCTTTCATTTAAAAGGCAGAGAAGAGCTCAGATGCTGAGCACAGCGAGGAGGCTGCAGCGCTCCATCAAGCAGGACGTGCAAAAGTGAATGCAAAATTCAGGGAGAAGAAGTTGTCCTGAGTCCCTGCCCTAAAACCGGTTTCTGTCTCATCCCCATGACCTGGTTAACATTATAAGAAGCTGTGCAACAGGATTCACACCCCAGGGTGCCTCCTTTTGTCTCCCTTACTGTTTAATAATCATATACAGAGAAGAGACATCAGGGGTTATCCCATGCAATCTTCTGTGAGACTGCTGGATGTGGGACAAAAACGGAGACAAGCTGCTCTGGCCCAGGCAAGGCCAAAGTGCTTATGGACACACAGTCCAGTGCTTAGGCAACAGGAAAGCCCCAAAACATTGACCACTTCCCAGCAGCAGCACAAGGAGTTCACAGTTTCTATTTAGGAGCTCGCCTTCCATTGAAATTTAGGGGGATTTGGCCTCACCTCTTCCCAGCTCTTATTTTGGAGGATGTTGATAGCATTTTAGGCACACACATGCAGCTGTGCATTTCAAAGCAATCTGTTGTGATATAAGCCAAAACAGTATTGGAGTCATATGTTTTCTTACAGATAAAGCATCAATTTATAAACATGTACAGCAAGTCTATCCAACAGAAAAATGGCTTCATACATATGCAAACAACAAGAAATACATAAAGCAGCTCATCAAATTCCTTTCTGATGGAGAAACTGGAGAAACGACAGCATGAAGATGCTGTTTCCCACTGCAGTCAGAAGGAAGATGCAGAATGATGAGTTTGGTGCTTAGCACATGAAGTTGCAATTGCATCCCATGTCACTGCACAGGGAAAATGCCATTTGTCACCTTGGGGCGTGCTGTGATTTTTTGTTCTTTATCTCTCATCTTCTTTGAGTATACAAGCTCTTGATTCACATTCAGGAAAGCAACAATGAGCAAAAATCATCTTAAAGCTCCATTCAAGCTAACCATCACTGAGGTCAGCTCCAATAATGTGTTAATATCAGAAGTTAACAAGGAAGTAACTGTGATGATTACATCAGTCTTGTGTATGCTCTGGAGCACTTAAAATCTCACTGTATTTAAGTCCTATCCCAAATATCAGCTTCAGGAGTATTTGTTCTTTACTACAGGCACAGACATTTCCTTTCTTCCGACACTGCACTGTGCTGGGCACCAGATGTCTGCTGCCCCCAACACAACACACATAAGGTCAATTACACGCTACGTGTTCTCAAGATCTGAGATGTTTGTGGAGCTGATGGGTAGCAAAATCAATATACGTATTTACATGAAATTCTTTTGAGAACACAATAAGCATCTATCCAAGACCGCATATAACCCAGAACAAAAATACGATGTTCAATTTTTTCCTAAAATAAAGCTACAAATTTCAGAATTCAGCCAGAAACCACAAAAAAGACACAAAAGAGGGTTAAAACTGAATAGAAGTCCAGCAAGCCAACAACTGCAAAGGCCACATTCTGCTCCCAGCTATGCCAGTGTAAATACAAAAATCACTCTGCTGACCTCCGCGCTTTGCTAGGTCGGCTCTATACATCCAGGCACTGAGCTCCCCAAGTCTCTGCAAACACCAGCTTAAAACAAAATATTTCTGCACCACACATTGTTAACTATATGATGAATGCCACAGAGAAAACTTCTCAGTGTTTGCGCATGAGAAAGCAAAAGCCCTTTAAAGCCCCCCCAAAAATGTAAGTTTAATAACTCGGACACACAATTACTACAAACAGCTCTTGGGAGCTAAGTGCCAGCCACCCCCAGGGCTCCTGGAGGAGTTCCACCCTCATCCATTCCTGCTGGCTGCAAAACCACTACTTTGTGGGGTCTTCAGAAAAAAAATACCAATGACCAAAAGAATTCCAACCAGCTTCAGGTTGGGTTGAAAACTCTGGAGAGCTTAATCTGTGGTGGGTTTCTAAACGCAAATTGCAGACAGGCCCTTGCAAGAGCTATGCTAGTAAACACTCACTTATTCCTCCCACGATACAAACAGTAGGAAATTAGATGTTTTCCAGTCATTTCTTTGGGGGATCTGAAGTCTTGTCCCTGCAAGCCAGGAAGTTCTCCAGCTGTACTCTTCAGTTGCATAGGCTATAATCAGAGGTGTTCTCTCCTATGATAGAAGGACTGGTTTCTTGGACAAAATATGGAAAGAAATTGGTAAGAAATAGTATTGGAAACTGTAGGGAAATGTAACATCACAATGTTACTAATAAATTAATTTATTCACAATTATTATTTTTGTAGCACTCAAAATACAGCCTTAATTTGTAAGGTAAATATGGATATACTGCTCTTGTCCCAGAGAGCTTACACAGTAACTTGCTATATTAAGGCTAATTAATATTGAAAATAGGAAAGTTCACTGCCCTTCGTAACAGAAATTGTATGGAAAATCTCTCTGCTATGCTGTTTGTTTCAGTTTGCAGGAATGTTTCATTGGAGGATGAGGTGAGGCTGCATTCACAGAGCACTGACTGCTCCCCTCAGGCCCTCTCCTAGAATCACAGAATGGCAGGGGCTGGAAGGGACCTCTGGAGGTCCCCTAGTCCACTTTCTGCTAATGCAAGTTCACTCCCTAGAGTACAATGCACAGCGAAGTGTTCAAGAGGTCCTGAGCATCTCCATCAACCAGAGGTAGAGATGTGTGGACAGAGTAGCTGTTTGTGAACCTTTGTAGTGTTTGGAGACTTGTTAGAGCTGACTTAATGCATTTGCAGTGTATTTACAGGTTGATCATTTAAAAAATCAATTATATATGAAAAAATTCCCCACTTTAACAGGGTGTTCTGTAAAAATCCCAAGTGTGAGGCAAAGTATCCATATTTTACTTCTCTGAAGTCATTCTTAATGTACTTCTTTATATGGTCACAGAATTTATTTAGAGGTTACTACGAATCTACAGGGGATAAAACCTTCTTACATAGGCTCTACTCTGACTCAGGTATGGACTTCACAACAGAGTAAAACTCCTATGAATTAGTGCACAACAGAAGAGATAAACGTGTGTTGAGTATGCTGCTTTAATCTTCAAAACACAAAGCAGCAACTGAAGTCTGGAGAGTATAAAACAGGAAGGTCTAATGGTACCACTGAAAGAGAAGGGAAAATGGCAATGCAGAAATCATACAGTTAAACCCATTTGCCTACCTGCTACTTCTAACATCTGCCACAGTTATTAAGTGGCAAGAGTCACTGAGCTGTCTTTCATCTCTCAACCCTTATTTACCATTTGCATCGCTCTTAGCAGTGCGCTCTGTTTAATTTTTACTTCTATTCACGTGATACATTCACTTGTTTATGGGGCATGGCCCGGGTTTGGATTTTACATACAATGTGTATTTGATCGAAGCAATCTGCAATTTTGTTTTCTGGGATGGAAACACTTATCCTTGCTTGTTTTTAGCAAAGATAACTTGAGGGCCATGTTTGGAATTAACATTACCATTTCAAAACAGAAAAAGAGAAAGGCCAGTTTCTACCCTCCCTTGAATTCAGAGACGACTGAGCAAGACCTCCATGCA